TTCTGTTTCATCATTAGGTGGTTTGAATTTTTGCATTTGATGAATTATAACTCCAGATTATATTCTACTGCTGCTGAAAACATGTTTGTGCTTTGGATGCTCTGACTTGAAAAAAAATGTAAACCAACAGCATAGACTAACAACTTCTAAACCAAGAAAACTATTTGAATTTAATGAATATTCCATTGATTTTACAATGGAACCTGGATTATGATGTTTTACCACTTATATAAAGGTGTGATTTAGGGACAGTTGACTATTCGCTCTCAGAGGAATGTTTGGTCACATCTTTAACTCTCTTAAAGACACTTCAGCAGTGAACTCTTTTGAGGAATATCTCATACATTGTTACTTGACCAACACATTCCGGTCTCAATATCCAACAAGTGAATTACTTTTGACCTGTGAGACCACCTCTTCTCTTAAAGATATGTTTTTCCAGTTTAACATCTCATCTCTCAATCTATGTATTTATTCTATGCTGAAAATGTGAAATTTACTGTGATAATGGAGTTTACCTTATCCTTGAGACACAGGTGAGAATATATAGCACAATAGTTGCTAATGAGAACCTACTCTTAACGGTCTGTGGGTGTAGCAGCATTGATAATTCATGGCCAAACACTGACACAAACCCATCAAGGCCTCATGATTGGTGAGGGTGTATCCTGCATCTTGCCCAATGGCAGCTTGGAAAGACTGCAGCCTTGATTTTATTTTAGGAGGAAGTTTAAAGATGAATCTGCTTTCACACCAAAACATTTATGGTTCATCATTAAGGCCCTCCTGATTTAGTAGTTTTCACAGATGGAAGACAAATAAAAAAGAAGTGATCAGGCTCAGCAGCATGACTCAGTTCATAAAGTTTAGGTTTAGGTTTCTGCCTTTTAAAAAAAAAATAGCGGTTGAGTAGCTAAAGTACATCGTGTAACCCCGTGTATTTCACAAATTGATAGAAAGGGAGACGCTGCTCTCATAATATCTATATTTGTAGATCAGCTATCAGAAAGCTTCTTTTCATTGTGTTTTCTCATTTCCTTTCTTGGCAGATAAAGTGAAATTAGAAGAAATTTGAGTATTTAGAAAAACATGGGCAGATTTTTTCTCAAATTGTTTCATGCTGTTTACTTTTCAGTTCTCTTCTCATAAGAATAATAGGTTGATTTGAATTTGTTACTTGCTTGTTTGCCTTTCAGAACTCATGGATGGAGACATAATTAATTTGTTGTTAAACCCTAAAAAATAAAATCTGCTTAGCTTTTTTCTTCACTTATCTTTCCAGGCTGACATATGTTTCCTTTAATTGGAAATGCAGCAATAGCAGCAATCCGTGGCAGAAATCGACCCTGCAGTGTTACAGAGATGCTGAACGCTCAGTTTAAGGATGAAACATTAAAAAAGTCGTTGCCTCCTTCCTAAAGGGGACATTGTGTTAAGTTAATTTAAATTACCATAGAGGTGGTTTGTAAGTAATTAATACAGCTGTGAGATGTGTCACAATGTTTTATTATCTATTAACATGATGGCACAAACAGATTGAATGGTTAGAAAATATACATTCTTTTGTACTCTGTCTTCATTCAATTATTGCAAGACAAGAAATGTTACAGTTTATGTGTTTACGAATGACCTGGAGTAGCAGTGAAAGCTGTATTACAATCAGAGTGGTTAATGAACGAGATTCAATTATTTTTTTGCATTCTGTCCTCTTCGGTCCGGGTTTATGTCCCAGTAACAGTTTCCAGTTCCAGACTGATTTAAGCAGAGGGCTTGAACATGGGGTCTTCCATAAAGAGTTTCTCCACCAGGTCTTTTGCTTCAGTTGGGGCGGGACACTGGGCTGAGAGCGTCGCTGGGAAGGGAAGGATGGTGGGTTCGGTCTCTCCTGGAATCTGAGGGTCAGGCCTGAGGGGCAGAGGGACTCCAACAGGTCCGGCGGCGGGCTCATCTGGGAAGGAGGGCAGGGTCATGGGCCCTCCCATGGCGGGGATCATCCTCACGACGCCCTCCGGGTGGTCGTGGGTTCCAACCTCGTGCTCGTGCTCGTGGTGGTGGTGGTGGTGCTCGTGCTCGTGGAGGTGGGCGTGTTTGTGGTCGTGGTCCAGGGCGAGCTCGTGATCGTGCTGGTGAGTGTGCACGCCGTCGGGGTGCTTGTAATCGTGGTGGTGGTTGGGGGAGTCGCCGCTGTGGTCGTGCGCCTTGGCGTGGTGGGCGTGCACGTGGTCGTGGCCGTGTCCGTGGTCGTGGGAGTGGTCGTGAGCGTGCCTGTGCGCGCTCCCCGCCGCGTGGTCGTGGGTGTGGTGGTGGTCGCTGTCGTCGGCGTGGTTGTGGTGGTCGCCGTGGTGAGCGTGGCCCTTGGTGTGGTCGTGCACGTGGTCGTGGGTGTGGGACTTGTCGGCGGCGTGGGCGCTGTCGTGGTCGTGGCTCTGTGCGTGCGTGTCGTTATGGCTGTGGTCGGTCTCCCCGCCCAGCAGGTGGTGTTTCTTCTCCCTCTCAGCAGCCTGAAAACACAGGCACACACACACACAAACACACACTAACCGTCAAAAACTGGCATAGTGTGCACTTTATCAACTAATGTGACCAGTAACTGGACCCCAAGACACATATTTGTACTTTTAGAGGCCCTGAAAGATACGCTTATGCTTCCAAGTAGTAAATGGACATACTACAAGGGAACAACAGCAGGAGCTTTGAATGCACCACCCAAGAGACACGTCTTTGGACCCCTTAAGGTGCATTGAAGTGCTTTCCTTTCAGAGAGTATAGGGGACCGGAT